CACTGGGCTCACTGTATATCTGATACAGGTTCTTGTAAAACATATGAACTGCCTGATTAAAAACAAAAAACAAAAAGCAACTGTCAACCAGTTCAGGAAGGTGAGAGCACCTGACAGGAAGGTCCTTTGTACCCCTGGGGGCAGGCACACTCTTCCACTTCCAGAGCTCGCTCCTGTCCAGTGGGGTGTGGCACTGCGATGTCCATCCTGATGTCAGCAATACTGCAACACAGACGTACCTCTTACACTGCACAACTCAAAGCTTCCACCCGGCTGGAGGAGAAAGTCAGTGTCCATCAATCCTGGCTCTATAGGCCAGCAAATATATCGCCGGCCCTCTCAAACTGTGCTGTTCAAACTTAGTTCCTGAGATAATTCTCTTTCTGGAAAATGTGTTTGCACATATTTGCATATGTACCAAAAACCTCTTAGCTTGGGATACTTGAGAGCACCCTTGCAGAACTTGATAATGACTTTACTTTATTTGAAATCCTAGGACGTGAGGAGCACAATTGATTACTGTCATCTGTCATTTTGAGAAATAGAACAAAGAAGATAATATGGAACACACTGCCATCTTTTAAACCTGTACTGGTGTAGATTAATTGCATTGATGTTTTACTCTTCACTGAAATGTTTTGCTTTTCCAACTGGTCCAGTCCTTTCATACACAGGTGTGAGATCCTACAGCCATGCACACGCGACGTGCTGAGATTGGGATGGGGGTCTTACCTGGTTTCGGACATGCTGTCAGCGTAGGTTGCCCGGATCATGAATACTGTGGTGTCTGCCAGTGCCATGAGCAAGTGCTCACGGGTGCAGAGATGTCCGTCGGCACGTTTCCATGCAGACTGTGGAGCAAGAGGGCATGGTTACACACACAGACACTGATCAGAACACATCAACACAAAGGACACCCATTCTCGCACTGCTTTATCCCATACGGGGTCGTGGGGGAACTGGAGCCTGTCCCGGCCAGCAATGGGCGCAAGGTGGGTCTGCACTCATACCTCCCTCAAGGGCACCGTGATGGTGGTGGGCACCCTGGGGACGGGCTTAGTCTGAGAGAAGTGCTCCAGGAAGATTCCGTTTCCTTGCAGGACCACGTCTGGAGACCCTTCGATCACCCTGGAGCGCTGGCCGGGCTCGTACCGGATCGTGTAC